TGAACAATTTTAATCTTAATGTGATGGGACATCAGCCGGCAATTATCCCTGTATGCACTATAAAAGTGCACCCAAGGACAATCCCCGGTTGATGCAGGACTATTGTAAAATGTGATAAAAATTGATAGGGTTATGGGTATGGGTTGCTATGCACTAGTGGATGAAAACTATGGAAATACTATGGTTATTATTATTTATTAGAAGTTTTTCGATTAGTTTTAGAAAGAAAACATTAAATTTATTCATTAAACTTATAAAAACTTCTGCTAGCTATTGGTTCTCTATATATTTTATATACATTTAAACAATGATATTGTATATTATGTTATAAGCGCGCAAAAGTGAAGACTCGAAAAGGATTCAATTGTATGCAAGTGCAATTAGTCTCTCTTAGAATAATGTTTGTTTACGTTGAGTACGTAATTGATATCAATAACTAATTCGTTTTTTCTTGTTGGATTTACCATACTAACCTTTTTCTACAATTTTAACTTATAGTGACATTTACAATTAATGACGCTTAGCGCGGAACACATTTTTCGTGCGTTTTGTGAGCGTATAACATATCCGTGTTAATATTATTATAATATCATTGCATTTAAAACGAAATAGGTAATCAAATTTTTAAAAATAAATACATTTTTAAAATGACAATATTTGTATGGACGCTTGGTATAATAAATGGCTGTTGAATATCATTTTATTTAGTCTGAAAATATGAACCCTTTTCATGTTATTTGACTAAGTAATAAACACTCATTTGTAAAGCTTTATATTTAGATCTTGTGCAAATATTTTGTGAATTCATGATTTTAAACAATATTTAACATAATGTACTATGAATGTATTGAATATGTATTTGTGTTGCTTTTATGTTTCCGAGATTAGGTATTCAGGGGTTTGTGAACCGCCCTTCGAGATTCAGGATTGGGGATTCCGAGTTCAGGTTTCGAGGCTATGGTTCCGGGATTTGGAGATTGACGTTCGGGGTTGGTTCGGTATTTGAACTTCGGATTGGAATTTTGAAGGTGTGACATAATTATTTAGTATTTCTAAATAGTTATATTCTGCGTAACACTTTCGTATGTTAGGACAACTTATTATTATAAAATTGATTTAATTTAGCCAGATTTATATCCCAAACTTTTATTCGAAATCGAGGACCCTGAATGTGGGTATCAAGACATGTCTTGTATCAAATAGACATATGTAGAATGACGGCACACAAGTGTTCAGCTCTTGACCTTGACCTTGACCGATACTCGACTGCCCTTTACATATTGAACGTGTAGATTGAATTTAGGTACGAAGATATACGAAGAAAATGTTATTTTCGATATCTCTATCAACAATATTTTACGGTAGATTTGTTTAAATAAAACAATAAATGAGATCTTTGAATAAATTTTATTAATTTAAAGCTTTATTTGGGATGCGAATTTCATCATCATCATTTATCATCGTCATCACCACTAACCGAAAGACTGCCGCTGCCGCACAAAGGTTTCTCTCGGCCAATGACAACTCACAACTGGAATATAGTATAATTTAGTTCGTTAAAAATTCAATCTTCGATCTTTTACAATCCATTATTGCAATATATGAAGCCTCTAGACAAACCAGAAACGAGATTTTGAAGTTTTCCAATAATACATAATCCTTCGTGTGCGATTCCAAATCGAAATACTTTTTTATTGATCCCACGACCACTGTTCGGTTGTTTGGTGTTTGATAAAATACGATGAAGATAATCGATATTCCGTCTCATATAAAACGCTTCGTTGTTAAAATGTAATCCTAAAAAATGGATAATATATTATTCCATCATCAAAACCGAAAATAACGCAAGCCAGCCTTAATCCCTTAATTAACCTTCCAAAATTTTAAATTAATTTGGTTGAAAGAAAAATATGCAAATTAATTGTTCAGTCCGGTCTACCTGACCCGTGACCTTGAATAATTCGTAGTCGTGGCGTAGAGTTGCTACGGGCCGCTACAAACCGGCTACGAACTGTCTACGAATTGCTACGGATCCCTGAGGTGGAGCTGCGTTGGGAGTTTCGATTTGTAATTACGTTTTTCGAATTGTTATTTTGGTAAAACGATCACGTATTTTTGTTACTTTTGCTGCCTATACATATTAGATTTGAAATCAGTAGCAACCAGATTAATTATTCATTCCAATTTGCAGTAGTAACGTTAATCATTTGGGCAAATCATGTCTTAACGCGAGTGGAGTGTATCACGGCCTCACAGAAAACTAAACGAAGTTGTTTTCATGGAATAACTCTGTCAAATGACAAAGAAGTCGCTCGTTTCAGCAGATTGTGTTCAGCTTCGTGACATGAGTGAGGTAACTAAAGATCCAAACACTCCCTTACCCCTTTTCAATCCATGGGAGGTCTGTAACACGCTCATCTAGTGTTGCAAATATCCATAGGTGTAGGTATAAAATTATATATCAAAATGGTCGTTATACCATATTTTAAATCCTACTTATTATTTCTTGCAGAAAGAGTTTAAGTGGATTTTAAATAAATATTAAATTTCTAACTAAGATTACAGCATACATTGTGTACACGTTCCTATTCACAGGCCCGTTCAAAATAATACTGCGTATATTTATATTAAAATCAAGCGACTTTGCAACAAGTTATACATTATTACACCCACGTGTGACCCTTTGTTATAAGTCAACCGTCCAGAGAATTGGAAGTCACCCAGCTAATGTAAAATTACTCTATAATGCGACCTACTCCACAGAGTATTTCCAAACCTTTTAGTATCCAATCAATTTAAAACAAATCCAATCGTGACTTCTTAGAAATAAAGTCGTTTATTCTTTGGTAAGTTTAGTTTTTAATCCTGTCGCTAAAGTTTTTCATTGAATTGAGAAAAGTGGTCACTGTTTGTGATAGTTCAGCTTAGGATAAGTGGGTTTGTTTGTGGATATTTCGGTTAATTTTATTGTCGGCTAAAATATTTGAAAAAAAGACACAATTAAAAGCACTTATCATTTACAAATTAATAACGGAGAGATAATTAGAATTCTGTCGAGTATTTTTTCAAAAAGAATAAAGAAACACTATAAGAAGAAAAAATATAGTAATTACCTATTTGATAGACTTAAGATTTTTGTGCTATAAACAATTCCCAAAAGCCAAATTCCACTTTAAGCCTCAGCTTCTTTTCAACATATGGTATTGAAGTTATCATCATCAATACCATATCTGCTATAAGTCAACCATATAAATTTAAATAGGCAGACTAACCCGATGGTAAGCAATCAAGGTCACCCATTGACAGTAGCTACAATAAAACATAAAGTGTGGTGCCGAACTTCTAGGGATGAGAAAAATTGAGCAAAGGAGAATAAGGAGAAAGAAATACCCATGTTTTCATAGTAGAATTTTGAGAACATGGGTATAAGAATGGGCGTTGGAAGAAGGATTGGACGTCTCGTAAGCTCATTCATAGCGTAAAGTTGTTCTATTCCAAGTTGCTGTAAGATGTGAAAGCACTTCGGGCAAGCAAGACCATTTGTGCCGAAGCGAGGCTCTCCCACATTTCTAATAATTATAATTAATCTAAAGTCTTGTGGTCACTTCAAACCAATAATTATCAACAATATAATTAAATGTACCACTTATACCAATACAGTTCGTGATCAACAGTAGCCACAAACAAATAAATCATAGTAAAACGGATATGAACTAAATACCTAAATATTTACGTTTCGTGCTCGTTATACGGTAACTAATTATGTGTTAAACTGTATAAAAGTAATGAACACGTTATGTAAATAAAATAATTTGCTAAACATGAACTGGTTATTATATTTATTTTTGAGGCATACGTCGGCAAACAACTGAATCACTTACAAGTGTATTGCCGCCCTTCCAGGTATAGTAAATTGTTTCAACATACGGTTAAATGAAAATATTATTCTAATTAAATATAATCTTGATTCTGTCTTCTTCATTCAACTTCAACTTAAAGTTACGAAGTCGAAGTTGCTCCTACACTGAAAATTTTCGTCCTCAATTCTTAGTCTTCATAGAACTCTATTGAAACCGATTGCAAAAAAAACATATGTATAAACCAGTATACAAAATCAACAAAAGTAAAAGAGAACATTTGTAACTAACACGATAGTCACGTACGGACATACATACTTACCTACCTACATATATATATTATTATGTACATACCTAACAATAATGACGTCATTTATCACAAGTAAGAACACGTCCAAGCAGTCTGTGACCCGAATTTTAATTCAAAGCGTTCACAACACATGTCCGCGTGAAATAGAAACATTTAAAAAGTAATTTATATTTTGTTGATCAACTTTTATTTCAACCTTTTTTTAAAATACATATCTAAGTACCTATCCATAGGTTTTTTGGAAATTCATATAATAAATGTGTAGATTCATATCATATCGGGAACATTCAGCGATTTAACTGCTATTTATTTTAAAACTAGCTTCCGCCAGCGGCTTCGCCCGCGTGCTGTGTTGATAAAAGCAGCCTATACCAATAGAACAAAATCGAAGTAAGTATACATAAAATGTGTTATTGATAGACTCATTTTTTTTAATTTCAATTCTTGTTTTTCAAGACTCTCTGAAGGACTACTAAATAATTTATGTATATATTGTTAACACAATCTTCAACTTGCACAAGGCGTACCTCTATTGAATCTCCTCCTCAGTTGATGTTCATACATATTAACTTGGTCTACATTCTGGCGCTGACAAAATGATACACGTCGTTAGGCAATCAATTCAGACGGAAGCTAGGTTCGTTAGGTGCCAACATACGGTGGGGCGCTTACTTGGCCCAACTACCGTTGCAAACTATTCACGTCAAATCCATTCATTATAATATTTGGCCAAGGAGGTCAGACTAAGTATGAAGCATTTGCAGAGATATGAGTATTATTTTATTCTTAATTAATACAAAAGAGATTTTGGCATCATTATGTCTGCATATGTCAGTGCATTATTTTCTTATTTCTTGGCGCCCTATATCTTCTGCCTGTTCTAAAGTATCTGGTAGCGTAGTGCCAAGTGTCTCTGGCGTTAAGAAAATTAAGATTCCAGATACTAAGGCGAAAGAGGCAAATAATACAAAAGGCAATTCTTCAAACCATTCGGCACCCTGCAAGTCATTAAATATTTTTTATTATTAATTAGTTTTTAAAATGTTAATCAGAAGTTACGTAAAACTACTTTGTTTTACTTTTTCAATTTATATTCGTTATTGTTGTGTTACATTAAAAAACAATATTATGCTAGAGCTTAATAAGGGAAGACCTACATACAGGACCTAAATAAAGTCCTTGCGGCATACCTTTGCCACAAATACTATGGTCAAAGCTTTAAAGAGTGTGGGAATTTTTCAAGCTTCAAAAATCATTGACATTTTTATCTTGATTTGGGTATGGTTAAATCAAAATGCTTATTGGCATTAAAATACTTACAAAAGCGGGTGTTAAGGGAGCAACTATGGAACCGATTCTTCCCATCATCGAAGAAAAAGCAAACAAGCTGTGTCGATGTTTCGTAGGGTAAAGTTCAGCGGTGTAAACGTATACTGACGTCGCAACGATTGCTATTGAACATTTTGCAATAAGGTATACTGTCAGGGATGCTGCATACAAATCTGAAAAATTTGTACAAAATCTTTATTATAATTCTTTATTATAAAGTCAAATCTTTTATTATAAAGTCTGTCAGTTTATTCGTTAGTAAAGCTAAGTTATTGTTTGTGAAGGTATTTTTAAATAAGGTAAGAAAAGCAAATAGTTCTTACCTCGTGGAATAAATATATATGCAATCTGGCAAGCAGCGCATAACCAAAAGGCGCCAGTCAAAACAGGCTTCCTTCCAATTCTATCCATTAAGAAATATGAAATCCAAAATCCAGGTATCTCGACCGCTGATACAGCCACAAAGTTCAAGTATCTGTTGCCAGACATGTTGACGGCGTTGAGTGATAACCCATAGTAAATAAAAGTAGTAGTGATCCACCATATAGGGGATATGAGCACACGTATCAAAATTCTTTTATGTCTGAACACTTGTACTACCAGCCAAGTTCCACCGCTCTGTTTTGCAGCTTCTTCAGCACTAATCCGCAACTTTTCCCCTGCCGTATGCCGTAACGTTTCTAAGGTCTTCTCTGATATTTGCTTCCCGTTGACTTTGGCAACTTTTCTGAGTAAAGCCTCGGATTCATCGAAACGGCCCTTGCTCATGTACCAGCGCACTGATTCGCTGATAATCCAGTAGTAGAAAATGGTGATCAACTGTGGAATGTAGAGTGTCAACGTAAGTTTCCTCCAATTTGGTACGCCCCAAGCAATAAATCCTAATAGCACTTGTCCGATTGCAAAACATGTATTCATAGCTGCTCCAACAGCTACGCGATATTTTGGTCCGACTAACTCCATCACTGTAATACATTTGCCATGAATAAGCCATTGGAATCAAAGTTACAAAAATACTAATAAAGAAATATGATATGTACATTCGTACGTGTTTACGGTATTATTGGATAAGTTTAAGATACAGAGAAAAGGCGTTCTGTTATAACACACGAAGTGTCAAAATTTTTAAATACCAAAACATTGAAGTGGTAATCATGCTATAAATTTTGCTTAACACCCGCGCTACTGATAGTATTCTTTTATTATAAATATATTATACCACGTGACTACTCTACACGTGATGCAATATAAAGATATCTTCAAAAGTAAAAAATGAGGTCGCTAAGGTAGTTCATGATTAAGCGATAATACTCACTCAAAATGTAAACACAGGAAAATCCACCAGATCCGAATGTAGATTCAAAAAACTGAGACAATATGAAACCTATATAGGTGTTTGCCCAATATCGTGTCACTCCAAGCCATGCTGTGTTGAATGCAGTGATTGTGAGGGCAACTCGTCGACCCCATCGATCCGAAATGAATCCAGCAATCGGGAGTGCGGTGAGAGTACCCAGAGTTCGCATTGTGCCAATCAGTGTCCTTCGCCACTCATCACAGGCGAGCCCAAACTAATAAATTAAAAAATAAAACTCATATAACTAAACTACTCGTCATAAAATGATTTTACCATTCCTAGTCAGGAACCAAAACAGCAGTCAAGGACACCCTAAAGCCGATAGGGTTATACTTTTTCTGAGAGTTTTTTCGGCACTGGTCTATAACAAAATTGTCGAGTCAGTTACCTACATTTGAGTAGGCAAATATTAGTAGGCATCTGCATCAATTATTGTTTCAATTCTGTCATCAAATCTTTCAAAATTAGTAATATGTTCAGTATCAATACTTACATCATACACAACGGAGTGAGTGTTTTGGTAGACAAAATCATTACAAGGAATCCTTATGTTGCGGTTGAAAAGTGAGCTAGGACAGGTATCGCTCTCAATTAGGCGTGGCAATGCAGTTAAGTTGCCATATCTTCGACAGTTGTCAAAGGAGCCTTCACTTGTACCAGGTGGCACTGCGTTTAACAACCAGTATGGAGAGAACTCCGTTGATTCTTCTTCACATTCTGTTATTAAGCACCTGGAATAGAAGTGTACAATTTATTAAAATTAAACTTTCTATGAAAGTAAAGGTAAAAAAGTCTCAATTACAATATAATAGGAAATGATGTGTTCCCTTATGTTGATGTTTTTGTGTTTATAAAGGGTCTCTCTAGTGATTATGGTAGTTTTTGGGTACACAAAGGAGCAAAACTCCAATTCAACTTACCTGGTAGTAATTCGAGCTGTTGTGAAAATATATTCTACAGAGCTCCAAGCTATGAAGAGCACCAGCACAGAGGATAATAAGAAAGTCCGCAACTGATATTTTCCGAACTGTCCAATCTCTTTGATGAGAATAGTGTCTAGTTCCACTAGTTTTTGTTTACCTTCCCCAGGGTCTTCAGCAGCATCAGATTTTATATCTCTCTGTGATCCCTCCATTACGATGTTACGCAGTTACGGCAGCAGCAACGTGTGGGTGCAACTCTAATAATAAAAAAATATTTGGACTAAACAGTTGTAAACTTTTTATCCATTTTACAACAGAACGTTGATAAAATTTTATATTATTTCAAGCCATCTTGACTGCTATCATAGAGGGTGTCCGTAAAAGGACGTATTTGTGTAAAAAGTGTCTTCACCACAACACGATGAAGCATATTCATTTCTAATCTTAAACCACTACTATCTATATGACTATGACTATCTTAAACTTAGGGTCAGCAGTCTACTAGATCCTACCTAGGTTTTATTTTACAATATCTCCTTTATCATACTTTTTTTAGCAGAGCAGCCGGATTGCATGGTGTCAATCAATCGCCACCGCCCTTGGACTCTCGCAATACCCAAGGAGTTATGAGTGCATTGCCGTCATTTTGGGGATAAAAGTTTATGATGAGAGGATGGGGGAGGAGAGGGATTGGGTCTTCGGTAACCTCACTCCTCAACAACTTTGTGGTTGTTTTACGTCAGTTTTCTTAGTAACAAACTCGTAACACACTAAACTGCAATCGATTACATAACTGCAGTGCCTAGCATAAAATATCAATATTTTACTAAATAAATAGATTATTTCTTGAGATTTTTGCATGAAAAAAGGGGTTATATACAAGTTAAGTGGTGATAAATTGTTTTTTTTTTAAACACCGTCTATATTATAGTGCAGTATTAACATTTATTGAGCTACAATTGATATTTTTTTGAGGATAAGACTTTCGTTTAATCGCTAATCGCTGCGGCACGTGTATTATATTTTTTTTGCGCAGATTATCCGCGCAGTTTTAATTTTTTTTAGCCCACTTAATAGTTTTTTTTTTATGTAAACGATCGGCAAACGAGCAGACGGACTACCTGATTGTAAGCAATCAGCGCCGTCCATGGACACTCGCAACGGAGTAGTAACGAGGGCGTTGCCGACCTTTTAGGGATCAGGGATTTGGAGATTTAGGGATTGAAGAGGGATTGGGGGAGGGGAAGGATTGGGCCTCCAGTAACCTCACTCACACGGCGAAACACAACGCTGTGGTTATTTTAGTTAATGATAGCGGCTTGTCATTGGGTCACTTGTGAAGTCATTCAAATTATGAGCCGTAATAAGCGCAACTGTAGTTCAACCAAAGTGTTTTGAGTAGGTTGTTGGTTATCAAAATTATCATTCACGAAGGAGTAATGTCCAAATGACTATCAAATAAGACTTATAACGATAACTGTCAAAAATTGTATGTTATCTAGTTTTGAACTGTGTCTAGTTAATAATTCCCATTTTTTGAGCAAGCGCAATAAGGCACCGTGGTCTTCTCGGCCTAAGAAGAGAAGGAACAGGGGGTTTTTAGTCAGTAAGAGTCTGACACTCCCTCTCACCTCACACTTTCTTTTATGTAAACGATCGGTATACGAGCAGTCGGATTACCTGATGGTAAGCAATCAGCGTCGCCCATGGACACCCGCAACGGAGGAGTTACGAGTGCGTTGTCGACCTCTTAGGGATTAGGGTTTTGGAGATTAAGGGATTGGGGAGGGATCGGGGAAGGGGAAGGATTGGGCCTCCGGTAACCTCACTTACACGACGAAACACAACGCTGTGGTTATTTCACGCTGGTTTCCTGTGAGGCCGTGGTATCACTCCGGTCGAGCCGACCCATTATCGAGCCGAAGCATGGCTCTCCCACACTGGACGGGAGAAGTAATTTTTGATTTTCCCCTCAGAGAGAATAATAATATCATAGATGTGAGAAAGTTAGTATGGATGGATGTTACTCTTTCACATAGAATATACTGAATGCCATATAGGAATTTTTACAGCGGGGCTGTGAGCAAAGACGTTGGCAGAAAGCAGTATATTTTATTTATATAAATTAAGAACGTAATATAAATAATTACACGTTTTGTTTTTTATAGAATAGGAGGCACATGAGCAGACAAACCACCTGGTGGTAAGTGATCAGCGTCGCCCATGGGTACATGCAACACCAGACGAGACACATTCCCGTTGCCGGCCTTTTAATAAGGAGTACGCTCGTTTCATGAAGGTCGTATCGGTTCGGAGATTATATCATTGTATTTGGATTAAAACGACTTCCAGACAAAAAAAAGTTTCAATTTATTCTTAAAAAATATAAGTATCATACAAAGGAGATTATCTATACACAAATTTACCTATAGCTAAATGTGGTCAGTTCATTGTTACGTTTTCTCTTTGCGTCCTATTTCTTCTGCCTGCTCAAAAGTGTCTGGCAATGTGCTGCCCAATGTCTCTGGAGTGAAGAATATTAAGATACCAGACAACAGGGCGAATGAACCAAATAATACGAAAGGTAATTCTTCAAACCATTCGGCGCCCTGTAAAACGAACATTTATTATTATTATTGCAATTAGTAAAAGAGATTATTGTGAAAACATTACGACGAATGGCGAGCGAGTGGATTTTGAAAATTGAGGTGGGCGGTATGTAATTGCTAAAAGTATTAATCACTACATTGTATAATACAAAGTCAAATATTCCAAAATTAAAAAACATTTTCTGTCCTTTTATGATTTTGATGCGGTTTTCGGTATTGGAATTTTTGTATCGGCATGCACCCGTTTGAAGCAGGGGCATCCATTAGAATTGTCTTATGTCACACATAGATTCATAGAAAAAGGACATATTAACACACACACTAATAATATATTTTTTATGGTATAATTCGGCAAACGAGCATACGGATTACCTGATGGTAAGCAATCGGCGCCGCCCATGGACACCCGCAACACCAAAGGAGTTACGAGTGCGTTGCCGGCCTTTTGGGGATGGGGGTTGCGGATATAAGGAAGGGATAGGGGAAGGGGAGGGATTGGGCCTTGGAATATAATTAACAACAATGGTCTGTGTCCCCGTTATTTAGGTAGGCTTATTTTCGACAGCAGACAGATATAACGATGAGAGTGAAGATGATGAGAGATGATCTGTGTCCACATATAAATTTCAATGCCCTGATCAACGCTCAACTGACAAAAATACTTAGAAATATACTTACAAATGCAGGCGTAAGCGGAGCAACCATAGAACCGATTCTTCCCATCATGGACGAGAAAGCAAACAAACTGTGTCGATGTTTCGTTGGATACAACTCCGCAGTGTATACATATACTGATGTCATGACCATCGCTATAGAACACTTAGCGATAAGGTATACCGTGAGAGATACACCAAACAAATCTGAAATAAAATTGACTCGTGTTGGAATATTATATTGCTATTACTAAGTCATCAACGGAAAGTAAATACCGAAAATCTTCAAATGAATTTTTCTTACAAAATAAATGATAGTAAATGACGATGCTTACCTTGAGGTATAAATATGTATGCAATCTGGCAAGCAGCACATAACCAAAACGCTCCAGTCAAAACAGGCTTCCTTCCAATTTTATCCATCAAGAAGTACGAAATCCAAAATCCAGGGATCTCGACCGCTGATACAGCCACGTAGTTCAAGTATCTATTCCCAGACATGTTTACAGCGTTGAGCGACAGTCCGTAGTAAATGAAGGTTGTCGTGATCCACCATATTGGGGATATAAGCACACGTATTAGTATACGCTTGTGTCTGAACACTTGCACTATGAGCCAGGTCTCGCCGCCTTTCTTTTCTGCTTCTTCAGCACTGACTCTTAACTTCTCCTCAGCCGTATGACGTAATGCCTCCAAGGACTTCTCAGATATTTGTTTCCTATTAACTCTAGCCACTTTCCTAAGAAGGGCCTCGGATTCATCAAATCGTCCCTTGCTCATGTACCAGCGCACAGACTCGCTGATAAGCCAGTAGTAGAAGATGGTGATAAATTGCGGGATGTACAATGCTAATGTAAGGTTTCTCCAATCAGGAACAGCCCATGCAATTAGACCCATAGTCACTTGTCCGAGGGCAAAGCATGTATTCATAGCTGCTCCAGCAGCCACACGGAACTTTGGGCCGACCAACTCCATCACTGTGAAACATTTTACATCGATTATATCCCATTTGTTTGAATGGAATTTTATTTGTATAATTTAAGTAATGTTAAAATTATTGCTGATGAAATAATTGTAAGTGATGATGTTATAGTTGAATTTTCTATGCTCATTTATTGTTAGATATGTCATTTTGCGACTGTTTGTTTTATTATTTTGATGCCATGCCCTCTCGTAAAATATTGTTGTAACTATTCTTTTTTGCATCAATTTATTTATAAACATTATTGAAAAATAAAGACTTATACTCGTAAACGCTCGTGTCACACACACACATTATTTGAAATATTGTTATTCGGATGTAATAAATTCTACTTATAATATTACTTAATGATAATAATCAAATACCTACTATCTATCATGTTTGTCACGCATGATATCGTTTACTCCTAAATACTTTCTCGTGTTATCAGAATGGGAATTCGAATTTTATCTTAAGCCTTACATATTTAACTGGGTTATAATAGCATTATTTGATGAAGGAATAGATTCTAATGGATTATGACACTCATCATTATTATACAGCTTATATACTTTTGCATGCGTGGAAAAAATAAAACCATGAAAATATTACGGTAGCTGAGTTAAATAAGATTTTTGTACTCACTCAAAATATAAACGCAAGAGAATCCACCAGATCCGAAGGTGGCTTCAATGAATTCGGACATCATGAAGCCGATGTAAGTGTCTGCCCAGTAACGCGTGACTCCAAGCCATGCTGTGTTGAAAGCGTTGATGGTGAGGGCAACTCTTCGACCCCATCGGTCTGATATGAACCCAGTAATAGGAAGTGCAGTCAGTGTTCCAAATGTTCTAACTGTTCCAATTAGTGAGCGCTTCCACTCCTCACACGCCAGACCGTACTTAAATATCAACACAAAGGTACATGAAATGCAGTATACTTAAGATAATATACTTAGTAGCAAAAACCAGGTTCACTTAAATATTAGCAGAATCGTCGTGTCTACTCACGTCATAAACAACGGAGAATTTATTTTGATAAACGTATTGATCGCAAGCAATTCTTCTGTTGCGATCGAAGAGTGAGCTAGGACAAGTGTCACTCTCAACCTGCCGAGGCAACGCCGTCAAGTTTTCGTATCGATGGCAATTGTCAAAAGAACCTTCACTAGAACCAGGTGGTATAGCATTCGCCAACCAGTATGGTGAAAACTCTGTGGCCTCTCCTTCACATTCTGGGATTAAACATCTAGACAAAAATGGTTTGAAGAAGAATGAATTAAAAAAAATGGTTCAAATTGATTAAAGAGGTAGTCAACAATATTGGGCTCTTAGTTGATGAGCTTACCTAGTAGTGATACGAGATGTAGTAAATATATATTCTACGGCACTCCATGCAACGAACTGCACCAACACAACGGCCAACAAGAAAGTCCGTAATTGATATCTTCCGAACTGTCCTATTTCTTCAACAAGAATAGTGTCTAGTTCCACTACGCGTCGTGGTGAAGATGGAGCACCCTCATTGTCCACATCTCTTTTCCGATCGCTTTGTGCGTGTTCCATTTTGGTGTTCCTCAGGGCACGCCCGCCTCTGGTGCGTGCACCACCGGTAATATGCAGAATAAAATATTTACATACATTTTATCTATTTTTTATAACAGATTTCTGATAAAATGTACTAATATGAAGTCACACCGCTCTATCTACTTTGTACTACACTACTAAACTATTGATATATTTATAGGTATTAAAAAAATTGTTTAATCACTGTGGCGCGTGCATAAATTATTTTTTAGGCATTTGATTCATACTTTACAAGAAATTTTCTGCTCATATTTATCAATTATTTTACAGTGTGTTCAGGATGCTTTATAATTAAATTGTTAATTTTAATGTTGAATATAAAGTTTTTTTTTTCTGTTTATTGGATCTTTGAATAATGTGCTTCACTAAACTGGTATTTCTGCGTTGGTAAACATTAACTGATTATTCCCTCATTGTCATAATATCAGCCACTAGACTTCTAAGAACTGCTGAATATATGCATACTGAATTTTTAACACAATTTATTGGTACCATATGACACAGTCAGATCTCCATGTCCAATCTGAACTGCGTTGGTAACAAAATACTCTAGTCTGTATTTAGAATCTATATATATAACAAACATAGTAGTTATCTTATATTTGGAACTGTAACGGAGTTACGCCATAATAATCACACTAGCAATAATCAAAAATAGTGCAAATCATTTTACCACCGACGATTATCTGTACTTACAGTGATCGATAAAACGTGCGAATATACGTAAAGCGATTCTATCTTTAGAATTTCGGTAAAATCGAACGTCAGAAGCAACTATGACTCTGGATTTTATAGTATCTGTCTCGTCCTTAATTATTATCTACTTATTTATTTATTAATTGCTTAGTGCCCAAGAATATGTACTTACATAAAGTGGACTTGGTAATGGATGGATGGATGGATGAATTTTAATTTTCTTAAACTTACTTTTTCTATCTCATATTTTTATAAAAAAATAATTTGGATAGTGTATTTCCTATTATATTATTACTGAAATGTTTTATATAGATGTAAGTGTCGATGAAAATGTGAAAGTCGATGTTGTTTCACACATGTTTTATATTACACCGCCATCTCTTTGCGGGCATAGAGCCCACATAGAGTGGTGGTGGTCTGATAGCTCTTGGTGACGGGTGGTTAGACTTCCGGAGTGTTTTCTGTGGAAGTAAGGACTCTCATCTTTCTTAGCTTGCTTAGCATGGCTGTGTCGCAGAAGATGGAGATGCCTTCCCAGTTCCTCTCGCTTTGTACCACGGGATCAGCCACTGCTGCTGAGAGATCGCTGGTCGCTGGAAGTAGCAGGAGAAAGAATAAGGAGGTTTTTAGTCAGTAAGAGCCTGACACCTCCTCCCTCCTCTCAGGGTAGGGCACCCTGGGTAGGAGAAGGCATTTGATGATTTACCTCTCACCAAAAAAAGCTTCTCTGAGAATATGGCAGTACTTAGTCCAAGTAGCGCAAACTCCCTCGGACCCCCCTTTTAAGCTAAAGCGCAAATATCTATACTAAAACTATTTTTTCTAGACTCTATAAAGCATAATCCGATTCAAGGTGTAAAGTTCTGTTGATTAGGTGGTTATCTAACTACAATATACTAACTACTTATAGGTAATAGTCTGAGTAGACATTGCGATTACTTTTGGTTTTTGCGAAATGGTGCTTCGTTGCTGTAGTCCAAGAAAAACAGACATAGTGGGTTTTACAAGAACGACGATTATAAAAAAAATTATAATAAGACGCTCAGTAGACGGAATGATTTAAATTCTCATGAACGGAATTATCTTCAGGGTTATAAATGGAATTCTTAATTTTAAAAACTGGCTGGAAGTAGATTAGGCAGACAATAGTTGTATTTACCTTGTGATTATCATAGATATACTTATCTGATTATTAACATTGATAATGTAATTATAAGATATTTAAATATCTAATATCATTGACGTAGCGATAGACAAAATGATTTCATAATATGTAGGTAAGTGTTTTAGCAGTAATTCTTATTTTGGGAAATATGTGAAGAAACAAAATCTGGGTTTTTATTCTAGTACCTTTTACCAAGTCAAAATACCATCAAAATCGGGATTCTAATTATAAGTCATTACTTTTTGTGAAAATGATTCATTCAAACTGACTACAGTATTTTAATTGTTTTGTTTTTTGGTACAAAATTCTGCCACTGGCTCGCTATGTTACCCGGACGAAAAGTTATAATATGTATGTATTGGTCCAGACTTTAAATTTTTCCAGGGTTGAGGGTCAATAATGAACCGCGGCACTAGAGCAGAGGATCTGTGTCTCTTTCTCTGAAGCAGAGGAAGCAACAGAGACCTTTTTAGTCAGTTAAAGTCTGATATTTCCTCTTACTTTACCTAAGGCGATTAAAGACATTCAATGATTTTCCAGGGTATAAAAAATAACAGCCTTTGGGTCAATTTTTATCGAAACCCATTCAGTAGTTTTTACGTAAAATAGTAAATAACCAACTGAGTGTCACTTACAAACTTTTACGTTTATATATTACTAGATAGCTACTCTCGCTTTCGCTCTCGGTTTCGCCCGGCGCTCGGCTCCTTCAGCTTGTAGCGTGATGTAGCATCCTCAATAAATGGTCTATTAAACACAAAAAGATTTTTTCAATTCCAACCAGTAGTTCATGAGATTAGTGGGTTCAAACAATCAAACTCTTCAGCTTTATAATATTATATTATACAGTATAGATTAATATTTCTGTTGACTGTACTTATAAGAGATATTTATTAAACAGGATGTCACGTAAAATATTAGTAAATAATGTTACTGATAATTCAATACATAATAGATATATACAAATAATGTACCTACGGAAGTTTGTAACGATAAATAAATTATATCATATCCTAATTGATAATACCTATAGGGTCGATTTTAGTAAGTCCGTGATTTCAACTAATTTAGAATTAAATAGTACTTAAAAACATTAATATAAAAATTTTTGAAGATAAGTTAGTTTCTAATTGCTTTCATGAAATTAATAATTGGAAAATTGCAGTTTAGGTTGGTACTTGAAGGCAACTGGAGTGGTGATTATTACAGCAAAACAAAAATAGAACACGACCAGGAAATGTCACGGGAGAAACTAAAGCTTAATTTTATCAATATTAACATTTAAATCGTCATTGTAATTATTATTATTTTATTCATATTTTGCTGTCTAATGCTTGCATTTGTTAATGATGATTTTGCGTGAAATCACACAATCTTTGTTAAAATTTATGATCTTGGCTGATAAATTTCTTATAATCTTAATGACATCGGAATATTTATGATATCGTAATAATGAAATATTTCCCCGGATTACAGAAATAATTATGTCAAGAACGTTTTGGTTGAAAAGTGTTTTGTTTATGTGAATTAAGTTTTATTTTGTTTCTACTTTAGTATATTATTGCGTGTATAAGTAAAGTTAAACGCTAGCAAACTATAAATGTGAGTATAATTTGAACTTCCTTGTTTCATATTTATTATTTAGTTTATAATTTCTATTAGGGTTAGGTCTACAAACTATTTGAAGAGACACCTGATGGTAAGCAATCTGTACCGCCCATGAAACATTCGCAACACTATGCAACGCCACACAAATGTTTACAAGAGTCTTCCAGGTCTTTTGTGGTTGTTTAATTTTACGATAGGGAGTTTAGGGATTAATTATTATGTTTTTGGCTTACTCACGTAATAATTTGACGAGATACTCGACTAGTTTCAGGCCATGCTAGAGGCGCATATTCATGAGCAAAATTCCGCGACACGCAACGCGAGTTAGTACTAGTAGAGAGAGCTCATAAATATGGGCCTCTAGCATGGCTTGAAACTAGTCGAGTATCTCGTTAAATTATTACGTGAGTGAGCCGAAAACATTATAATTAATTTAGAATGTCTCACGAAAGTTTGGGGATTAAGAATAGAGGGGGAAGGATTGCGCCTCCGGTAACCACACTCACATTTTTAAACACAACGTAAGTTGTTGTTGTTTTAGTCCGGTACAGACTGTCAGGCCGTGGTATCAATCCGGTCGAGCAGGGCCATTCGTGATGAAGCTCTCTCTTGAATTCTACACTTCTTCGACCACATAAGTGCCAGTAAGGAAAATTAATATTAAAACCTGCTTTTATAATTCTGATGTACTTTTACCTACATTTCAATGACTTGCATAATACGTTATAATTACATTGTTATCCAACATAGGGATAAAAATCACATAAAATGTCTCAAATATTATTAAGGAAGTTTATTTTGAGATCTGAATACTTTTAAATATTATTCGGGGTCAAGCCAATTAGAAATATACGGTCCTTGAATGTTTTGCTTGGGTCATCACAGAGTTTTATTCAATGAAATTTATTTAAGAGGTCCTTCATTACGGCCCACGTTGGAGGTCAAGGAATGAAAAAGTTTTTAAGGAAATGAATATTTTAATTTTCTCTCCACTCAAGACTTTTTTATGGTTAAATCTAATTACTGCTTGATTCTTTTTTTAAATCTTCTAAGAAATGCATCCAATAATTCTACGTAGTATATCGTATTTATTGATTTAAAAGTATTTTAGTCCGTTACAGTTAGATAATGAGAAAAAATACTAAGCCTGTATTTTTTGCAGTCGTATAAAACAACAGTTACCAACATAAAACAAATTTAAGTTTAAGAGTTAGGATGCCGGTGTGTCACGCTTTTGTAACAGGTATAAATAGTGACGAGATTTTATTACATTAAATAAATAGACTCATTTTCTCTGTCCAGCGGAAAGAAGTACTTATATTAAACGTGAATTGTGTAGACAGGCATACTACAAACTTTCAGATTATATTGAGGATAAGAATGCCTGGCAGCATGTTGATTCGGCTCCACTGGACAATACTCAAATATAGTCAGCAGTTAGGTAAAATTCTCAAAAATAATGCATCCTTAATTTATATATCCAAAAAGTTTATATAGAAGCACTCTTAAAGATTGTGAGTACGCATATGTGAGCGCCATGTTCGAGACGACAAAGGAGTAAAATTTTATGATAGGTCCCCTCATTTGTTCTTTTTTTTAACAACTTGTCTCTGCATTGTTCTCACATAAGGGTACACTAATGTATACTATAAATGTTATATT